TATAAATTATATAACAATCATTAAAATTAATACATGCACAAAGTATAAAAAGTAACTATATTGAAAGGTAAGATTGCTAAAATAAGTAGGGATATTTTTTTTTTAAAAAGTACACCGAGTTGATTTAGCTCACAAATTAATTTAACTGGATATAAACCAAGAAGTGGTTTTATTTATATTTCTCCAAACATATATTGTATAAATATAGAATCCATACTATGGAAGTATGGCATTTTTATGTTCAAATAGCCTCTATTTTTCATGAATTAGCATTTTTTTCTCAAATGTTTCCATTTTATAAAGGGCTTGTTCACAACTTCTCCAGACCTGATCCAGACAGGAGCGTTTTTTGTCCACACCTGAAACGCACCCCAATGTATTCCTATGGTATTTCTGGGCTCTGTTCACACCAGTGCAGTCGGTTCCGATGCAGGGGGGAAAAATGCTGCATGTGCTAATTTTTCTGGTCTGGAACGCACCAAAAGCATGTAAATGCATCAAACGCGCATGCAAGTGCACTGGACCAAACCTGAAAGCCTATTTTAAAATATGCAGAAACGCATCCAGATCTGGCCTGGATATGGTGTGAACAAGCCCTAAAAGGTCCAGTTTTTCACCAGTCAGAAAACTAGTGGTATTTTAAAGAGTAGTAGTCTGAACAATAATGTTAAACTGACTTTTACATACAGTTTGAAGGTAGCAATAGAAAAAGAACATCTAAAGTGAATTTTTGATCTTCTGCTTCAACAAATATCACATAACCAAAAATGAATCCTCCCTAGCAAGACTATTGACATATAAGTATAGGTTAATAATAATAAAAAATAATAAAGCCTCAGGTGAGGATTGTAGCCTCTTGTCCAATGTGTCTTCTGCAGCTAGCCTGTAAGGCTTTGAACAGACTATGAAGGGGGATGAATGATATATTTCTGAAAGATAAATGTGCATTGCACTGCAGAGAGACTTTAACGGGGCGTTGAGAATTTCTGCTCTGCAAAACCACAGGTTTAGGATTAGGTGTTCATAATAAAGCAAGTTTACACCAAAAAAAAGTATAAAAAGTAACTATATTGAAAGGTAAGATTGCCAAAATAAGTAGGGATATTTTTTTTTTAAAAAGTACACCGAGTTGATTTAGCTCACAAATTAATTTAACTGGATATAAACCAAGAAGTGGTTTTATTTATATTTCTCCAAACATATATTGTATAAATATAGAATCCATACTATGGAAGTATGGCATTTTTATGTTCAAATAGCCTCTATTTTTCATGAATTAGCATTTTTTTCTCAAATGTTTCCATTTTATAAAGGGCTTGTTCACAACTTCTCCAGACCTGATCCAGACAGGAGCGTTTTTTGTCCACACCTGAAACGCACCCCAATGTATTCCTATGGTATTTCTGGGCTCTGTTCACACCAGTGCAGTCGGTTCCGATGCAGGGGGGAAAAATGCTGCATGTGCTAATTTTTCTGGTCTGGAACGCACCAAAAGCATGTAAATGCATCAAACGCGCATGCAAGTGCACTGGACCAAACCTGAAAGCCTATTTTAAAATATGCAGAAACGCATCCAGATCTGGCCTGGATATGGTGTGAACAAGCCCTAAAAGGTCCAGTTTTTCACCAGTCAGAAAACTAGTGGTATTTTAAAGAGTAGTAGTCTGAACAATAATGTTAAACTGACTTTTACATACAGTTTGAAGGTAGCAATAGAAAAAGAACATCTAAAGTGAATTTTTGATCTTCTGCTTCAACAAATATCACATAACCAAAAATGAATCCTCCCTAGCAAGACTATTGACATATAAGTATAGGTTAATAATAATAAAAAATAATAAAGCCTCAGGTGAGGATTGTAGCCTCTTGTCCAATGTGTCTTCTGCAGCTAGCCTGTAAGGCTTTGAACAGACTATGAAGGGGGATGAATGATATATTTCTGAAAGATAAATGTGCATTGCACTGCAGAGAGACTTTAACGGGGCGTTGAGAATTTCTGCTCTGCAAAACCACAGGTTTAGGATTAGGTGTTCATAATAAAGCAAGTTTACACCAAAAAATAGTATAGGTTGGGCATGTTCATAAATTTTCAGCAAAAGCCCTGGCAGGTAGTCTGCATCTCCTGCACGTAATTATGTCATATATTTCATTAATGAATGAAGACACAGACAGATATTTAATTTTTTTTTTAAATAAAAAAAATACAGGAAAAAATAATTTAAAAACACAGAACTGGCCTATTTACAAGTTTTAAGAAGCAAATATTGCATGAGGTGTGGCAGGGTTAAATCAATAGTAAGAAGGTTGTAAAACAGCTTATGGTAGATGTAGAATGTGTAATGTAGGTCACATACAATGGTTATGAATTATGAGTATGCAGGGGAGGTGGTGTTGGTGTATATAAATCATGTTGTGGGTGAGTGTCTGTGGTCAGTGAAAAGGGTGGAAATGAGGAGTTAGAAGAGGGATACGTTGTGGGAAATGGTGGTATAGACATTGTGGGGGTATATATAGCTTGATGTACCACCTGCATCAACTGAAATTTTACATGAGGCAGTCGTTCTGGGGAAATACGCCGCATGTCATCTCCTAGAGATATTAGGAAGCTCGAAATGCTTTCTTCCTGACGGGCTGGCTCACGTTCACGAGCCTCTCGCAGTTGATCCCGCATCTCCCCAAGGACGGACATAACTTCTGCTGACAAGGGATCAGGAAAACTGACTTTTTTCTTCGGCACTCTTTTTCCCCGCTGCTGTTGAGACGGTCGCAGGATTTTCTCCTCTGCTGGGATGAAGACACTGACTGAGGAATCTGCCTGCTGGGAAGGCTCAGCCTCTGGTTCCTCCTCAACCACAGCCTCAGCCACAGGGATGGGCAAACTTTCCTCGCTTTCCTCTTTGACATTTCCAGATGTTCTAAAAGTTAAAAAACAAATTATAAATGGATGTGTCAAAGCACGGGTCTGTGAAAAACAGCAGTACTCACTTTCTTGTTGTCATTGAAGCCTTGAGGAATTGTAGCTTTTCAAAGAAACGATGAATTCTCACTTTTTTTGCAGACCCAGTCCTCTGACTGCCCAAAGCATTAAGATCCCTCTTGAAACGGTCTCGAAGACTCTTCCAGCGGATTTTTAGCTGGCGCTCTGAATAAGAAAATAAATTTGCCCACTATACATGCACATACACAATCCCTGCACTACCTAAGGATATTGACAGAAAGAACACAGTTTTAAGCACATTTAAACTAAAAATTAATGTGAATATCCCCTGTGTTGCCCAACAATAACCCATGCAAATACATGCACATTGGTTGGAAATTAGGTAATAGAGCGGATTATTGATAAATGCTGGCCTAATACGACCAGTGATATATGTGTATATCCTCATGTGTTTGTGTGTGTTACTCCACATGTGCACAAACCCCCCTCCCCCAAAACAAACTGGTAGGATAAATGACTTGAATGAGATGAATGAAATGACTGATTTCAACCCTGACAGACACAAGATTAATATATACAGTATAATCTGAAAATTTCAGTACGACTGGTCAAGACGTCAAGATTGTAAGCTCTGCTAGGAAACGACTGATATGAATGGTTTTATATACTCTGCTTAATATGCCAGTGCTTCACAAATACAACTAATAAACAGTGCATTTGCAGAATTACAAGCTCCCCCCTCCCCCCACAGTCCATTTCCCCTGTGCTAAAAAAAGGTACACAATAATAAAGATGTTTTCTTCCAAGCAAAAATGTTACATACCTTGCAGCTCTCGTTCTTTCCTTGACATAGTGTGCCAATGCGGGGTTACTCGCCGAGTCACTTCCACCCAAGCCTCCTTTTTCTTATAGCAGTCACTGTAGGATGCTAAGGAAGTGTCATACAGCTCTGGATGTTCCTCTATAGCCCGGATCAGCTCTTGGACATTAATGTTTCTCATCTTGAATGCGGTTATTGTCCTAGGCATACCACCATCTGTAAAATGGTTACCACAGTATCTCTATGGTCACCAGGCAGGGACTGTGGAATATTTACCACATAAAGCAGGTCTCCAGAGAGGATCAGATGCAGCCTCTGCCATTTATTTAAGAAGTGTTAAAGCTTGAACCTTGAAAATGCATTGAGGTAACACAGCCTACCTGTCCAGGATATTTGTTTTAAACCTCACATTGCTTACGTACATTAGGTTACACAGCTGCAACATTTAAATTCTGATTCTTTGAATGTGCAAGTCAGGAAATTCTCAACACCACCAATGAATGTCTCTCTGCAGTATATAGACATCTCAAAAGAAATTTTTAATGTCACGCTCTGCCTCTGTTAGTCTATAGAAATCATTAGAAACAGATTTTGAGGGAGACTGCACAACATATGACTGGCAAGAGGCTGCATACCTGCCTTCTCAAAGCCCTCTTTAATCAACAGAAAGAAATATATGAAGCTCAAATAAAATAGCAGGTTGTGTGAAGAAGTTTCTGTCATTTGCACTTTGCAATGCATTCAGGATATCATTATTAGCTCATTTGTTAATTTTTCCATATTACCTGGAGCAGATCTTTAAAACTTAGTACTGTATATAACTTTCATAAGTGCCCCAAAAGATTATAATACACTGTGATGAGAAAGGTTTCCTTAAGGAGCATAAGCATAACCCCATCAATATCTAAGGTCTACATTTGGTATTATGCAATGGTCAGGCTTCCGAGATGTGTAAATCGTCACATTTTGACATATGTGTATACACTAACTAGCATCCTGCCTTGCTGTTAAAGTCAAAGCACTATATCTTAAAAATCTCTTGTTTACAAAGAAAAAAATGCTTCCAACTTTAGCAAGACTCCAAGTTGTAACTATATTTCTTCCAGAGTACCATCTACTGCTGAAATCTGGTAACAATACCTGAGAATATATTTTCCCCTGTCTTTTAAGGAGAAACCTAAAAAGTTGGTTAATCCAACATGAAAAGTATAGCAATCAGCAATTCTACAGGTGTTGTGTTGATAACCAGTGGTCTTATGGGAGACAAACATTCCTCTATATCTAATAAAATAACTCCAAGTTTTATCTGTATCTAATCAGATCTTATGTCCCCAATGCAATTTAAAATAAACAAGAACTCCTGTTAACTGGTTTCCCAGCTATATCACATTTAAAAACAAACCAGTCATGGCTATTTCTATCTTGGCTATTTCCATGGCTATTTCTATCCTTACAGGTCCCTTTTAACTGCTGAGATAGATAAATAGATCTAGATAAATAGATAAAGAGATATAAAGGTGTTCAAGTACACAGGAATTTGGCCATGCATCCTCTGTGGAAGGACAAGTCAAACTGAATTCTGCTCCTCCCCCACAGCTAAAATCATGTAGTTAAAAGACTAGGGTTTTGGATGTATGACCAACAACAGAGCAGAATGTGTCTCCAGCAAAGCTATGTATCTAATATTTATTTGTTGAATTTATTTATACATACCAACAACACTGTAAGCACTTAAAAAAGATCCACCTCAATGTATCTCTTGCTTTTTCAATGCACAAGTTTTTTTTTTTTTTTTATGTGGAATCCACTTCATTGCAGTTCCCCAGTATATTAAAGACATCTCAAAGTAGTAATGTAGAGGAGTCCCTTATTTCTGTGACCCAACTATCTACCCCTGGTGCCTTACTATTTTATCTATTCCTTGCATATTATATTACTTTATATCATTTGAATATTTAAAATGAACCCATCACTTCAACAGGTGCATTTTAATCATATAAAACTGGATTTTTACAGGATACCAGGAATCAAGAAGTGGCAAGGCATGCATTTGTTTTGCTGTCTGCTTGTGCACAATGCCCTTGGATTTGACTACACCAAAAACAACACGTTCAGATTCAGAGCTGTGACACCCCGCCACCCCCCCCCCCCCACACACACACATACACACTCTTTTATTACCAGGTGGCAATGTTCAAGGCTTTCTGTAGGTTGCAAAAACACTGCATTTTAGAATACAGGTGGGACCATACCTGCACTCTGGAAGAATTTCCACAGCCAATGTGTGATGCTCCATTGGTGCATTGTGGGAACAGAAAGCAGAATTAAACACATTCCCTAGCACCTTAAAGCACTTCTCTGTTGTAAAAGTGTTTAAGGTTTTCTGTTTTAACCCAAACCCGATCTAAAAAGTGGTCACCTCAAGTCATCAGCTTTTACCTTTAAATCTGCTCAAATTCTGTTTTGTGCAATGGGAGTTCCTGGACTTCCGGGAGACGTTGGTAAGGAATCTTTAGCACAGATTACCCACCCCCACCTTGTGTCAATTAAATATGATCATCCCAACAGCACACACTGAAATGAGGCATGTTAAGGAGGTTTTTACAGGGTTTTTAACCACTTCCGGGCCGCAATACGTCAATAGACGGCGGCCCGTTAAAGTGGTTAAAACAAGAACATGGCTGCTGCAGCAGCCGTGTTCTTGGTAGCGCTTTTAACAGCAGGCAATTGCTGTTAATGTACAAGTGATCTGGCCTCTGTACAGCCGCCGGATCGTTTGTACTGTGCGACGCACCCCCTCCCCGGCCGCCGTTTGATTCCCCGGGCACTGCTGTTCCCGTGCGGCGCCCGGGAGCGGTTCGGTGGGACTCCCCGCAGTGATCCAAAAGAGATTCTGCGGCTTCCAGCTGCTGATCTCTCCTCCGATCACTGGACCTGGAAGTGATATGTATTGAATCACTTCCAGTGTCACTCTTACAGTCTCCGGCTCTTAGAGCCAGGAGATGAAGCTGGGAAAGCAGACATCTGCTTCCTCAACTTCTTTGGGGTCCCTAGGTGACATTAGAGGTCTGAAAGACCGCTGATGTTTCCATAAAGAGGACCTGTCACACCCCATCTGCTATTACATAGGGTGCTTGTTAGCCCCCTATGTGATAGCAATAGGGTTAGTGTAAAAAAAAAAGAAAAAAAAAGTGTTTAAAAATTATCAAAATTAAAGTAACATAAAATAAAAATTAAAAAATGCAAACATTTTTTAAAGTCCCCCACGTGCACGCACATAAACATGCATAGGTGCGCCTACGTGCGAAAACGACAATTGCGCTACACATGTTACGTATCGCCGCAAACTTCGAAGTGAGAGCAATAATTCTAGGGCCATCAATCACTGTTAGCCCTGAACTGATGAGGTAAAAGCGTTGAAAATGGGAAATTTGGGGTATTGACTTTTTTTTGAGGCTTCACGGGCAAACACAATTTTAAGGCTAGACATGTTTGGTATCTGTTTACCTGGCGTGACCCCGTCTTTCATATTTTACCAAAAAATTGAATATTATATTATGTTTCTGTGCACTAAATTTTAATTTAGTGAATTTTTTCCTAAAAGTACTGGTTTGATAAACATTTGCGCAAAAACCATGCGACTTAAAAAATTGCAACTAGCATTTTTTATTCTCCAGGGCCTCTGCTTTCAGAACATATATCATTGTTTGGGGGTCTGAAGCTGTTTTCTAGCCAAATGTGTGTGCAAATAGTAAGAAAATGCCCCGGACAGCAAGTGGTTAAAGATGTAAAGTCATGAGCAGATACCTTGTCTTATGGTGTTTGATTTTCAGAATTGGAGTTGCAGGATAAAACAGGATTTTTGATTAGTGTAAAATATGTTCGAGTTCATGAAGGGACACAGGGTCAGTAGGAATTCTGAGACAATTTGGTTATATTGATGCCTAATGGAGTAACTAGACATTGGCAAACAAAAAAACTTGGTCAGCCATATATATTCCCTTCTCATTTCTATTATGCTTCAGTTTTGTAGAAAAGCAATGTTAGGAATAGATCAAAACACAGAGGGGTGGTACATGGGTGCTTTAATAAACTCCAAGAAGTGAATTTTAGGGTAAGTAAAAAAATAGCATTCTTTGAACTCACTGTACAATCCTTTTCTCTCCATTCATTGAAGGCCACAGCGGAGATCTTGAACATCAAATCTAAAGGAACAAGTAAAAACGTGTGCTGACGACCAGGTAGCAACCTTACAGACTTGAGAAACAGGTACTCGATGTTGAAAAGTTTATAAGCTGCTAACCACATAAGTAGAATGAGCTGTAAACGGAAAAGGTGGTGATTGTCCTATAAGAGCATAAGCCTAAACAATAACTAGTATGCACTTTCTATGGGTCGTCAGTAATCACACAAAAAAGAATTGGACTTACTAAAAGATTCAGTAGCAGACAAATAGACTCGCACCACCTTACCTACATTCAGATAGTTAAGCACTGAATTTTTAAGATGCATTGGACGAGGACAAAATAAAGGGTAGAATATCCTCACTGAGATGGAAAATCAATGAAGAAAGGAATGTCTAGGGCAAAGAACTGAGGCAACACAGGGCAGCTATTTCGAAACTCTCTGGGCCACCTTCTGTGACACATTGAATAAAGGGGTATCCTGCATACTCTGTAAAGAAGAATTCTGTAAAACCGAGAGAACCAAAATTAGGTCCCACAGAGGCAAAGGAGACTTGACAGGAGGAGAAACATGTAAAACGCCTTAAATTAAGGTACAAACCAAGAAATTCAAGGCTAATGGACGCTGGAAAACGATTGCCAATGCTGAAGCCTGACCTTTAAAATCTGAGCAACCAAAAAGGCACGAGGACAAATATGAAGTTCCTTACACTAAGAAATGCAAGTTTTCCAGGTTCAAGGATATCATTACTAAGAGGTAGACATACATGCTTCAAGCATCGCAGGGATCACAGATTCAGACAACCAACTGTCTCACAGCACCTGGCTTTCAATAGCCATACCATTAAAGCCAGAGACTGTCAGGCTCTATTAACACATTAGCGGTTTTCTGCGCATTTTTGTACGTGCGGAAACACGGTAAACATAAAAAACAATGCATTCCAATGAGTATTGTTCAGACTATAGCGGCGTCTGTGCGGTACAAAACCACGCATCCCACAAAATAGTCCAAGTGTGATTTGGGACGTATTC